CTTCTGGGATTTGGGGAAACAAGGGAAACTAACATGCGTGTGAAGCTCATGCTCCCTATTGTATGATAAGTAATCAAATCATTTCTCTGTGGCCCAGGAACCGTGTGTCTTCTGCCAGCATCTATGACACGATGGCAGGTTAGCCTCTTAGCTAGCAAGTAAGGTAAAATTTCAGACTTTCCATGGGTTTTGACAAAGGGTGATACTCTATAGGTGATATATTTAAATGTGGGAAGCTCTCCTGGATACTGTTCTTATTCGCCTTATAAAACCTCCCCTTAGGGACCAGCAGATAGCATAATGGTTACGTTGCTGGACTCCCTCCCACGAGGTCCACCATGGTCCTGGGACTGGGTGGCTTGAAACATGCAGGGTACATATACGTGTGTGTCCAGAATCCCAAGAGGAGAATGGAAGAGAAGGAATTGTGTCATGGCCATACCCCCAGGGGCTGATGTTTCACTTTCTGTCTCTCTCTGTCTCTATGGCAAGGGCACTCGCCCTATACCAAGAAATTCTCTGAAAAACAAACAAACAAACAAACAAAAACCAAAAACCAAAACAAAACAAAACCTCCCCCTAAAAACCTAATAATTTATCTTTTTAATGCTCTATTGTTGCTAACAAAGCTAGAGAGATGTCAATCTCCCCAAAAATCAAAAGTCAAAAACAGTTATTTCATTGCATATCTTAATTTGGTAATATAGGCTAGTCTGTTAGCTAGGTCAAGTTACTTTAAATGATTACTTGAAATATCAATAAAAACTATAAAAGTTAAAAAAATAAAAGTGGGACGCAGCCTGGGTTGTGACACCTGCAAAGGTGCTTTTACAAAATACATTTGAACCATGTCATAACTAAGGACAGGATTCGATTCCTCAAACAGCTAGAGTGTATAACAGTCATAAATACGCGGCACTAATTTAGGTGGGGACCTGGTAATTAGGCCTCAAGACTCTGAAATCTGAAGGCTAATCACTAGGTAAAATGAGTCTATATGTCTATTAAACACATAAGGAAAAATAGTAAAAAAAGACTCCAATTATTGCCAATTCTCTGAGTTCTAGAAAACTTTACTGAAATAGGAGGCACTTCTCTGTTTACTGCCAATTCTGTATACAAAATACACGCAGGTCACTATTCATAGCAAATAGAACTGTCAACCTAATCATTCCTAAAATCGTTATTTTGCTTTCTCTCATTGCCTCAGAATGAAACTCCAGCTCCATAGCAGGAAGTAGAATCTCCTTTGTTCCAATCTAACTTTTTATATGATCAGCTAAAAGTCTTCTCTCCTGTTCTTCACTAATGTCCCTTCCACACATGCAAAGGGCCTGCTATTCTCTGTCACCTACCAGGACCCTTCGTGTCCCTTGTCTTCACACACAGCACTCTCCTTGAGTATAATACCTCTCCCCTATTTCTTCATATTACAAATTTTTACTATCTTTCAACTCCATGTGAAAATGTCATCTTTTCTTTTTCTGCTGTGAAAACTGTCAGCTGTCACATCTTATGTTGTCAATGCAGTTAGATTCTTATCTGCTCCTAAGATCCTTGACATCTCAATATGTCACTGCAGTGAAAATGAAAAAAAAAAAGCAGAAAAACTAAACTATGAATAAGTGTATTATGAGAAGAAATGTGAGAAAATTACCTTAGATCATTGTTTCTGAAGGTTTGTTATATACGTTGTAGCTTATATCTAACTTCTCAGAGTTTATTTTTATTTAATTATTTAATTTTAGAAGTTTTGCCATTTGGCATGTGCACGTGCCAGAGAGAGAGAGAGACAGAGACAGCGAGGGGAGACGTGAGAAACTACCCACCAGAGAAGATGGCCACGCCACAATCCCTTCTCCATTCTTCTCCATTCTCCCCTAGGGAGTGATTTCTCACTTTCCCTCTGATTAACACTTGTCTCTCTCTCTCCAGCAAGCGCATGTGCCTTAAGGCATAAAACCTCTTTAAAAAAAAAAATGTGTTTGGAAGTGTGTCCTCCTCTTTAATGTTTTTTAAGAGTTTGAGAAAGATTGATATTAATTTTATAATTATTTGTGAGAATTTATCTCACCTGTGAGAATTTAACCTTGAGAAGCCATCAAGTCCTATTGCTGGGAGATTTCGACTACTGAGTCAGTCTCCAAAGTCTGAACAGTTCTTCCCATATCTAGTTTGATACTCGATTAGATGTAGGTCTGTTCGCACTTTGTATTTCTTCATGATTTAGCCTTGATATGTCGTATATTATTACCTTTTATACACATTTATGTATACATTCATATCTAATACTTTTAAATAATTTTAGCAAAATATAACATGTGTGATGTATTATTGCATAGAACTATTTTTATAGAGGTTTTTCCTGTAACGTATATGGGCTCACTCGGGAGAGAGGGAGACACTGAGAAGAAAAGTGAAAAATCCCTCCCCTCTCCAGGGGGATGGCCACAATCCTTTCTCTAACATTCTCCTTCTGCAGTCTTGGGGACACACTCACACACAACTGGCATGAGTTTCTAGCCACCTGGTCTGGGATTTGAACCATGGTCAGTTATGTGAGAGCCCAGAGATGTAACTGCTATGCCATTGGCTGGCCCCATGCATAAAACTGTTTTATCATCAGTTATCAGGAATGTAAAGTTTAGCTAATTCAATAGAAAATGAGTGTAATTTGTATGAACAAATAGAACAGATTGAAGTGAACATTTCTTTTAAAACCAAAGAGCAAAAAAGATACCATTTTTATATACAACAGACTGTGTTAGGTGTCTCACATAAATATATCCAATAAGTAAAATTTCTGTAAAATATATGTACAATTTAATTGCATGTTAGCATCATAGTGTATTTCTTTTGAGCTAGATACTCAATTTAAATGAAAAAGAAATGACTGAGGTTCAGAATTCATGAAGTGTTTTGGAAGATAACTTCTGAGTGAATAATTACAGTATTTTACTTCTGGGTGTTTTTGCAAACTGAATAGTCCAATAGTTATGTATTAAAATGCTCCTGTTGGTTAAGTTAAACAAATTCCAAGACTGAGAACCAACATACAACTTGTGAGTAATCAAGCAAATAGGCATTACATCCATAAAGGGAACACTTAGGCAGTCAGAGACATTTTATCATGGCAGCATTGTGAGAAACATAAACAAATTTAAAAAAAATGTCCTTTGGATTCTAAATCCTTTTAAATATCCTACAAAATAATATTAAAGGATGTTATAGCATGCATTTGTAAATAAAACCTGAACAATTGTATACACTAAGTAATACTGTCTTCCCTTGCATTGATTTATAACCTGGAAAATATAGAATGAAGTGTATTTATTGTTATATTAGGCATAATATCCACAGTGAAGGAAAAATTACACAATATCCAATCACATTAAAATATTAGCAAATCATATCTCTTTACTCAAAAATCTTTCATGGCTTCCTATTTAACCAGAAGAATGTCTATAAGCACTAGTGTCATTCACTGAATTAGCTACCTCTCCCCTCCAATGCCACACCTCTCTCCATCTCTGCTAGGTTCACTCTAGCCTCCCTGCCTCTGCTGGAACTATGCATTTTCTGTACAGTTAACCTGATATCTTCTTCCTCCAGGGAACCTTGAACTCACCACCAGTCACTACCACCATCTGCATGTTTTTAGCAAATATCTTCTCAGCAAGACCTGTCCAGTCATTGACTTAAAATTGCAATCACAATCTACACTCCCACTCATCACGTTCATGGCCCTGCTTCTGGCCCCATCTGTATATAGCACCTTTAGCACCTTCCACAAGTCCACACTCCCATCGGTTACATTCTTGACCCTGCTTCTGGCTCCAACTGTCTGTATCACTTAGCACCCTCCACAGTAGTATATATGTGCTTATTCTGTAAATTTTGCCTATACCCATCTCAATAGAATTGAGTGCAGAATTTTTATTTTGCTTTGGGTAGTGTGGGGTACATTCTAAGCATTCAAAAATATGTGGTGAACAAATAAGTAAAAAAAAAAAATTAACAATGTACTTCAGAGTGATGATATTGTCAAGACTGTGATCAAACAAGGAAGAACTATTTGATTAAGGATTAGACATTGTATTTCTATTTAAGTACCATTTAGAACTTCTGTTCCAAAGTTTCTATCATACTTCTCATTAATAAAATAACTATGATATTATTAGGTAAGCTTCAGCAATATCCAATCGTACTATCATTATTGTATACTTTTTCTTGTATAATCTTGTTTTTGCTGGAGAATAGACACCGATTAAAGAAGCTGTCGTTGAGGTGACCAGCAAGTGACGCGATGGTTAAGGCACTGGATATTTCCACATGGCCAACAACGGTTCAAGCCCCGGACCTGGTGGCTTGCTTTCTCTCACTTTCTCTCTTCTTTTCTCTTTCTCTCTCCGTGTATGTGTGTGTGTTTCTCTCTGGTCAAATTAAAAAAAATAAGTGAATGAATAAATAGATTTAAAAATAATTCTTTATAAAAAAAGAAGCTGTTGTTACAATAATACTCATTTAGATTATTTCATTTACTCAGTGTTTACAACTATGGGGATGAATGAACAGAAACATCAGGTATAATTTTACACTGCCAAATCAATTGCTGGTCAACAAGTACAATAATCCTTTTACTTCTGATTAGGGTCTTTTTAAGTTTCTTATTTTATATTTTAATGACTATTTCTTTCTATTTATCAAAATTAATAGATTAACATTATTATTTCTTCGATAAGCAATTCAAGACTAGCTTTCTAGGAGTAATAGATATTAGAAGATAACAGTCATTCTAATTTTACCTAGTCTATTGCTTAGGAGAATAATGGAAATTCCAGGTATATGTAATTCTTATAAGTGTGTTTAACAAAATCTCTATGTGAAGTAATATATTTCTAATTCATTTGAGGCTTCTCTTGTGAAATTTTCCTAAAGGACTATTTACATCTTGTTATCCAGACTGACAGAATGTCATGTTTTTCCGGTTGTGTTTTCAGGTTGTATTCAGTTGGAGGTCGTGATGGAAGTTCCTGTTTGAGTTCCATGGAATATTATGATCCTCATACAAATAAGTGGAACATGTGTGCTCCAATGTGTAAGAGGAGGGGGGGTGTTGGAGTAGCCACATGTGACGGTTTTCTCTATGCAGTGGGAGGTCACGATGCTCCAGCTTCAAATCACTGTTCTCGGCTACTAGATTACGTAGAAAGGTAAGACCCCTAAAGGGCACTACTACCCTGAAAGAGAATGAAAATTACATTGATGCCTAATTCAAGTGGTTGTAAAAACTGCATGATTTAGGAAGGTAAATTCAACTACGAGGGCTACTTTTTATTATTCACTTATTTTATTTTGAAGGTTTTTGCAATAGGACATTTGCAATAGGACATGTGCACTTGCCAGAGAAAGAGACAGTGAGAGGGAAAGTAAGAAATCATCCCCTGGGAGAATGACCACACTGCAATACCTTCTCTTCCATTTTTCTCCATTTTCTTCCTGGGATTTTGGGCACACATACACACGTGTCTGCCATGATTTTCACGAGAGAGAGAGAGAAAGAGAAAGTAAGAAAGCAAATCACCAGGTTTAGAACTCAAACCGCTGTTGCCTGTGTGGGAGTGCGCTGTCATCTTTCACTATGCCACCACCTGCAAGTCCTCAGATATGTGAATTTTTTTTTAATTGAGGATATGTTCATTTTCAAGAGATAATTTCTGGTAAACAGAGTATGTTCCAACTTAAGCACTGCTTGATTAACGTACACAAGTAATCTTTAACAGCATTGCTACTCCATGGAATGGACTGTAACTTTATGGCTAATTCAGGGAAGGGAATTAAGCTCTCCCTAAATTCATTTTAGCACTCAGTATTCCATTGAGCTGAGAAACTACAGGTGTTATGATGAGAACTGTGATCATAGTCCAAAAAATAGATTTATTCTCTTATACACATGAACATGCAATCATTTATTTTAAAAAATACTACCACTATTTGATTGATAGCTGATTCACATTTTCTTTTGCTAAATTCACGGCTAAACAGAAAGAGAAGATGAACATGATGAGACTACTACTTTTTGCCTTGAATTTCTTACTTAAATGCTTCTATTTAAATGATATTTTATCCAAACATCCCTGTCCAACTTACTATATAATATACTGAAATGTTGTTTGTGAGCAAAGGCATAAATAATTCAGTCTGGGAATACATTTATGATGCAAAGCTAGATTTAAATATACATAGCTATTTTAAGTTATAGGAACACAGTATGAACAACTTGAATAATGCGGAAGCACACAGCATTATCATTTTTACCCAAGCTCATACTACCTGTCAAATTAACAGCAGTTTTACATTTTCTGTAGCATATTTTCTGTATTGATGACTTCACATGTAAATCTTCAAAAAAATCAATATATATAACAGTGCCTCTATTGAACTATTTTGCACATATAATGTGAATAATGTTCTTAATATATAATTACAGGCAAACCGATTATTAGAAATAGCAAGAATAATATACATCGCTATGTTTGATAGATCGGTAGATAGAACAAATTTTATTAAATTACAATGATGTCTTACAGAAATGGAAATGTATGATATAATGGTGATGTTAAGTGCAGTTATATAATACTTAGTAAAAATTATTTAGAGTCAAGCTGTCATGAGCACAAATAACACTGACACCTCAAATCAGAGTTGGATAAGGAGGCAGGAAATGAGAATGGGAAGTCTAGAATAGCTTATGAAACAGATGAATATTAGTTCTGTAGTGAAGTCTTGCCAAAAGGAAAGCATGTGAGCAGACAAAATCAGCGAACAAAAGGTATAGTAATTTCTAACATAATTTAGACCTAGAAAATGTGATTTGTTAAACATTGAACATGGATCCATCTATTTAGTGAATAAATACTGCTTTGCATGTACTAGGTTGTTGGGAAAGTCATGATGTATTTTTCCATGCTTTTCTATGCAAAAGTGTGTCATGACTTTCCCAACAACCCAGTATTCTGCACTATGATATGAAGAGGTTATAATTTTTTTAGAATAAACAAAAAAATAAATGATTAGAGTTTTAAGATTGCAAAACTGGAGTCCAGATAATGAATCAGAAAGTATGCTCAAAGTTCTCAGCATCATTACTGGCTAATAGGAACTGGACTAGGGTCCCCTTTGCCCTCACAAGTGCATCACAGCAATAAATCCTGATGCAAGAAGGATGTTGATGTAATAGAATCGTTCTAAGTCAAACTTGATGGTATCCACTTCCACTCCTTCCAATTTCTCCTTATGTTCTCAGGGGATTCTTTTTGTAATACTAGTATGGCCTGAAAGAACAATGAATATTTTTGTACCAATTAGCAGGAACATAATTAAAATAATTTTTATGTCAGGTTCTCCACTAAACTAGGGTCCATGTGCTGCTAACAACCAAGATCACTAGTCTGATTCTCAATTTCTGCTTTTAACAGGATTCCTGGCACAAAATTGACACTCAATAAATGCTTACTGAATCAGTCAGATAATAAGAAAAATAGACCTCAATTTCCCCAATGAAAAGTATCTTGAGGTAAACTTTAAATAGGTTATTGTATGTTAGTGGGTAAACAGATGATTGATTAGATACATAGAGTGATGCAGCAATGGGTAAATAGAAAAATGGACGGAGAGATGGATATTTGGATGGATTTATGAAAATAAAAATAAAGTTAAATTTGTTTTGTTTTTCCAGATTTTCTTGTGAATGCCCGTTTTCATCATCTTTGACTAGGTATCAATGGTTCTTACATGTTTTAAGCACTTATTTTTAATATATATAAAATTTTCAAGACAGATGGGGTCTGAGATAATAAGTAATGGCTCAAATATGAATTGAAACTTATATCTTCATATCTTATCCAAACACTATTAACAAATTAGTATCAGATACTTTGATATATTACTTATAATAGATATAAAAATTTTGTTCTATGTATACCAAAATCTACCCCAATAATATCAAAAAAGTAATCTAAAATAAGTTGTAATACATTTCTATCAAGATATTACTCAATAGCTTGTCTTTACATATTTAATAAAACATGAAATAATGGGAGTTAAGATTTGTTGTCGGAACCAGCAGATGGCATAGTGGTTAAGTCGCTGGACTCCCACATAGTTGACCATGGTTTGAGTCTCAAGTCCTGCAGCTTAAAACTCAGGCCAAGTATGTGTATATGCACATTTAAAATCCCAAGAGAAAAATAAAAGAGAAGGAATTGTAGAATGTCGACCCCACCTGGGGGAGTAATTTCTTGCTTTTGTTTCTCTCTGGTGAGTGTACATGGCCTCTAGCAAAAATATCTCTCTAAGGGAAAAAAAAAAGGAAAAACACACTGGGCATATGTGCATATATGCCCAAAATTACTGAGGGAAGAAGAGAGAAGAATGGAGAATGAATAATTGTTGTGTGGCTATCCCCCTAGGTAGGTGATTTCTCACTTTCTACCTTTCTCTGTCTCTTTCTAGAAGCACATGTGTCCTAGAAAAAAATACTAAACAAGCAGACAAACGAAGTATTTATTTAAACATAGTGTTTATTTTAGATGACATGGAAAATCAGAAAAAATTCATAAAAGAAAATTATTTAATTAGTAACTTTGTCACCCAAATTTATTGATCTAATTGATGTCTACATTTAATTACATTTCTGTGTTTTAAGATATACTTTCTAGGAAAAATCAATATTTAGCAAAATTTCAGGCTTCTTTCTTTATCAATTTCTCCTAATTTACATTTAGGCTGTATCAAGTGTATGACATATGTTGAGTACTTAAAAATGTTGGCTGAAAAAAAATAGACGAGTGAATGCGAAATGTTTGATGGATTGGACTTCTGATCTTAAATTCTACCAGAACCAGGACCAGAAGTTAATGTAATGGCTATGTCACTGAACTCCCATGTAGTTGACCATGGTTCATGTCCTGGACCCGGTGGCTTAAACTCATGCCAGGTGTGTGTGCGTGCATGCCCAAGAGCACAAGAAGAAAAAGGGGGAGAAAGGATTGTGGCATGGCCATCCCCCCTGGGGGGTGATTTCTCAGTTTCTATCTCTCTGTCTCTGGCGAGCGCATGCGTGCGCCCTATAGCAAAAACCTCTCAAAAAAAAATTAAATTCTACCAGAACTCAAGGCATTTTAAAATATGGGTTTCAACTAATAATATTAGACTTATTATTTTAAAATTTATTTTAGTAAATTATAGATATAGATTCTATTAACTACATGTCTTTCTTATTAATTTTGCCAGAAGGGGAAGGATCTTGCCAGAAAAAGATGGAAAAAGTGAGAGAAAGTGAGAAAGCTCCTCCTATGGGGGATGGATACACCACAATCCCTTGTCTTTCAACTCTCTTTCTGGGATTTTGGGCATGCATACACACATGTTCAGCCTGTTTCTTAAACTGCTAGGTCTGGGACTTGAACCATATTGTCACCATATGGGATCCAATTACTATAACCACTACATCACTAACTAGCCCATTAAGTATATATAATATTTTTACAAACAATTCTCCAAGTGTTTATTTGTTTTAAATGAGGATATTATACATTTTTAAGGTAAGTATATATTTTCTCATAAAAATATTTGTTATTTTAATTACATATTTTTAAAGAATTATTTTTTATTTTATTTAATTTATTTGTTTATTTTTAATTTGACCAGAGAGAGACAGAGCTAATGAGAGAGAGAAAGGGAAAGTAAGAAAGCAAGCCTCCAGATCTAGGATTCGAACTGCAATCTGCCATGTGGGAATCAAGTGCCTTAAACCACCATGCCACTTGTTGGCCCCTTGATTAAATATTTCTTTTTTTGTATGTTTGTTTTTTAAGAGAGATTTTTGTGTAAGGTTCATGTACTCAAGACCCTGTTGGGGATGCTCTCTGTCTCTGTCTCTCTCACTCATTAAATAAATAAAATTCAGATGGCCAGTCCCAAGACTACTTTTAAGAAGATCTATATATAAAATTTTATTGTTAATTTTAACCAACATATATCTGTACTGTCTAAACAAATAAACAGAAGGAAAGGATTTGTGTCCAGGATGGCATGTATAAAAATCCTTGCTTAATCTTGCATATGACAAAGAGGAAACTAAATATTAGTGAGCAAAGGCAGCCATTATATATGGTGGGGTCATCTGGATATCTCACATGGAACAATATTA